CGGCGCGCGGCAGCCTCAGCCTCCACCTATGCCTCGGCGGCCGGCTCGGGCGCCCGGCTAGTGAGGAAGCGTCCGCCCCGCCGCCCAAACCTGCCCTGGGCGCCGAGCATGCCCAGTGCCGCCGCGACCGCGCGGCGCTTCGCCGTGCGCATTCCACTTCTCCTGGTTTTCGCGGCAGCAGCAGCAGCAGCAGCAGCAGCAGGGGAGAGGGGAGGAGGCCGCGGGTTGGGAGAGGGCCGAGCATCCTGGCGAACGCGCTGCCGGGCCTCGAGACGGGTGGCTGTTCGCAACCTGGCGAAAGCCGGAAGGGGCCCGGGGAAGGCCTGGAACCCCGGGTTGGGCCGGTTCCTTGGTTCACGTGCAAGAAGCCGACAGTTTATTGTGGCGGGGCAGATGCCGGCCTGCAGACAAAGGGGCAGGGGCGGGAGGGGGGTCTAGAGCAGCTGGTGTGCGCCTTGGGGGCAGGGGGCAGGCTGAAGGTGCAAGCCACTGGGTGCAAGGGGGTGTTCTGAAATCCTGTTGTTCTAGAGCAGAGAACGCGGGACATCCATCTGCGAGACGCACCACAGCGCCAGTCCTGTTTCTGGCACCCCCAGCACTTAGATTAAAACATGTTTTCCGCACATGGGAGAGACTTTCTTCTTGACAGAATCCCTCTGGTTTTGAATCTGGAACGTATGTGAACTTAACTGCGAGAAAGACCTTTGTCCAGTCTGGAACTTGAATAGACCGCGATGACGAGTTCGCCTCCTCTTGAGCCCCCTCTCGTGTCTTCCTACTTCCGCACCTCGGCACCTTCTCTTCTCGTCCTCCTCCCTCCACCCCCCACCCCCCACCCCCCGCCCCTTGCCCAAGCTAAACTGGAAACCCCCCCACCTGTCCCTTCTGCATAGTTTTCCAATGGATCCCGCATTGCTCTCTTCACTTTGAGATTGGTTTTCCGTATCTGCCCATGGTTTGACTCATTGACTCCATTGAGACTTCTCTGTGCCTCTCTTAGTGTGAAATACAGCAAGTACAATCAACGTCGTGAACGATGAAAGAACTGTTAGAAAACAAGCCCCAAGTTATGTGCCAAGAAAGTCCTCTGGGCCTTCACCTGTGTCCCTGTTTCAGGTATCATGACGGGGCTTGCCCCTCCTGCAAAGGACTTGGGCGGGCAGACCGCAGCCCACCCTGGGCCAGAGGCAAACGTTTCTCCTAATCATGCCACAGCTCGCCGTCCCTGACCCTGTAGATCCCAGACTGTCTGAGGCTGTGATCTTCTCTATTCCTCCCCTCCCCAGAGCTGGTTTCTGAGACACAGATAAGCAGGGAAGAATACAGGAAATTGTCATCAGAGGGATTTGGGGGGCTTATGATTCTCCCTGGCAAAGTGCTTCTCTTTTGTGTCAAAGAGATAATCCAAGAAAGTTAAATGACTTGAATACTTATCCGGGGCTATTCTCTGTTGTACTTTGGAGCATGCTAAACTATCATTTGAAGTAAATGCAAAGAGAAAAAAAAAAAAGTTTTAGACAGCTTAAATAGGTAGAAATAAACGCAAGGAGCAAGCGTATTAAGACAAGGACTTCGGGCAACAGTGCAAATGTTTGTTTTTAATCCTCTCAACCCAGGGTTACAGGTGCCCACACAAGCTTGGTCTCGCCTCCAAAATTAAGAGCTCTGGACTGGCTTCAAGTTTTAGAGCCAGCTCCATATTAAAATACTCCCGATCCCTGTGAGAGAAGACACTGCAGGGCCATATTTCAGCACACGTCGAACTATATTTTTTATTTTAGTCCTCAGAAAGGCATTCAATTACTGCAGAGAACTTGGTACAAGACAAATTAGCAGTACTGTATCCATTAGGCTACATTATATTTTAAAGGATGCTCTGTTCTCACCTTAGCTTTGGTCGGATTTTGGAGGGGAAAAAACTTTTTTTAACCTGTACTTCACATCTTTTAATTCAGGAAGTCATGGTGGGGTGGAGAGGGAGGTGTTAAGAAAAGGTTAGTTACACTTTGGATTAAATTTAAAGTACATGCATAAATTTTATCCATGGGAAACATATGTGTCTTCTATGCCTATGTAGATCTAAGTTAAGAAAATAATTTTTTTTTAATTTTTTTTTCAGCGTTTATTTATTTTTGGGACAGAGAGAGACAGAGCATGAACGGGGGAGGGGCAGAGAGAGAGGGAGACACAGAATCGGAAACAGGCTCCAGGCTCCCAGCCATCAGCCCAGAGCCTGACGCGGGGCTCGAACTCCCGGGCCGCGAGATCGTGACCTGGTTGAAGTCGGACGCTTAACCGACTGCGCCACCCAGGCGCCCCAAGAAAATAATTTTTTATAAGTGTTTTAGAGTTATTTTTTAACTGAGCCGAGGCAAAACCTATTCGCTAATTGTAATCCTTGGAAATGACCCGGAGGCAGTCCCTATAAACTTATGTAGAGGGTAGGTGAGGTGGGTATTTAAGAAGGGCAGTGATGCCCTGAACAGTTTTGATTTGCTCTGTGCCCAATTTCATTGGTAAATTATGATTTCTATTCATCGAAAATCACTTATAACTTAAGATATTATTAAATGCACAATTAGATAATATTGAAACATGAAGTCCAATGATCATATGTAGTGTAGGTCTGGGAACAACTCACTGCTGCCATCTTTTGCCTCCTGTGTCTGAAAGTTCCTGTACAAAGGAATGTTCTCAATTCCCTGATTTCACTAGGAGACCAGGAAATTACTGGCTTATGGTTTTCAAATTACTGCACTTGACACGAAGTGAAACATTTTTGTTGTTCGTTCTGTTTCTGTATCCAAAGAGTTCTAAGGTGCAGAAATCATCTAAATACTAAGTGCTGTATCTCTTGATTTTTTCAATCAGTTTTCAAAATTTGATACAAGTATGTTTTTATATGCCACTTTTACTTCATTTTAGACATAAAACCCAACAATTCAAAATATTTTTGCAAATGCATGTACTTTATAGTTCAAAATATGCCAATTTTAGGAGACTGAAATGCTTGGTTCAAAGCAATTTCTTTTTTTTTTTTTTAACGTTTATTTATTTTTGAGACAGAGAGAGACAGAGCATGAATGGGGGAGGGTCAGAGAGAGGGAGACACAGAATCTGAAACAGGCTCCAGGCTCTGAGCTGTCAGCACAGAGCCCAACGCGGGGCTCGAACTCACGAACCGTGAGATCATGACCTGAGCTGAAGTCAGACGCTTCACCGACTGAGCCACCCAGGCGCCCCGGTTCAAAGCAATTTCAATCTAGCACTATAGATTCTGGTTGAGGTTCAACTAGAAAGATAATATTCTTGTATTTTTTATTTTTTTTTTAATGTTTATTTATTTTTGAGACACAGAGAGACACAGCATGAGCAGGAAAGGGGCAGAGAGAGAGGGAGACACAGAATGTGAAGCAGGCTCCAGGCTCTGAGCTGTCAGCACAGAGCCCGACGCGGGGCTCGAACTCACAAACTGTGAGATCGTGACCTGAGCTGAAGTCGGACGCCCAACCGACTGAGCCACCCCGGCGCCCCTATTCTTGTATTTTTTAAAATGATTTACCCATTGATAAACAAGTGGAAAGAGCGCCACCTGGATATTTTTTTTTTTTTTTTTTTTTGGGACAGAGAGAGACAGAGCATGAACAGGGGAGGGGCAGAGAGAGAGGGAGACACAGAATCGGAAACAGGCTCCAGGCTCTGAGCCATCAGCCCAGAGCCCAACGCGGGGCTCGAACTCCCGGACCGCGAGATCGTGACCTGGCTGAAGTCGGACGCTTAACCGACTGCGCCACCCAGGCGCCCCTCAAGTTGTAAAATTAAACTATGTGAGTGATTGTTGTTGCTGCCCAGCATTTAAATGGGGGAAATAATGACACTCTTTTAAAATTTACAATTTACAATTTAAATGTAGAAGTCATATCATTATATATATTATATACACACATTCAGGAGAATAGTAAACACTGCTTGTTGTTGACCATAAAAGATATGCATTTGTTACTGGACAACATTGTTCTGTTTTCAAAGACTTTCAAAGTAGTTATAACTGTTTTGAATTAACCATTTTAGTTAAGATCAATGTGTGGGCCATTTCAGAATTTGATGGGCAACTTCACACTTTCACACAAACTTCTTTTGACTACTGCTGCCCCTCATATGATGCTTTCGCTCATTCATTCATTCATTTATCAGACGTTTGTCTACTGTGGTTCAGACACTAGCAAAATTTGTGGTATCAGTAGCAAACAATAGGCAAAATGACAGCTCCCGATCCTCAGAGAGTTTATAATCTGTGGTTATGGGATGAGAGAAGAAGAGGAAACACACAGAGGAGGCACTTAACGCTCAAATGTTTTCATTTCTTTCTGACTGTCTATATGGTTTAGGGCATTGATGATTCTTTATTCAATCCTTTTCTTCAATGTTTTCTTATTGTTTTTGCCTCTTCGAGGGAACCTGTTTTGGTTTTGGTTTTGTTTTTTTAATGCCAGGACATAGGTGGCATGGTGAGGGGAATGGCCCTAAATGCTGAGTCAGAGGAAGGAGAGAGATAGAGAGG